TTGTCTAAAATGGAATTGCCCTCACTAAAGTCTTGTGTTCAGTCTTGATATTTAAATATATGTTGTATTTAATGATTATACATAACATATATAAAGGTAGTGACTGAACACGAATGCGGCCACTTCCATTTTAGACAAAAACCACCTGAAAAGTGATGTTTTGTGGCAAATTTGAGAGATTCTTTATATTTAAACTCGAGTTTGAGCGTCTATAATGACCAAACCAATTCAAATCTTTTACCTAAACTAATTGAATCGACTTAAGTAGACACTTAGGTGTTTATAAAATGTAAAAAATCTCTCATCAGATGTACTTCAAATTTTAGGCCAAAATTAGCCCTTACCGGACCTTCTCCTTCAGATATTAATCATATATGACCAACAATATCTCAAAAGGTATAGTCAATTAAGAGAACGGAATTGGTAGATGTATCTAAAAAAGTTATGCTTTACCTGATGAAGCTGTTTACTGAATTATTAAAAAGTTAAATAATTAATGAAAAATACTCCTTAAGGATACCAGGCTTATAATGTTGTAAGTCAGACGCGCGTATCGTCTACAGATTATACGATTCCAAATGGTAAACAGTTTTATTTATGCGGAGATTTTAATTCAAGATGTGGTGATTTAAATGACTTTGTTGAAGGTGAAGATACCTTGCCATAGAGACAAGTAGTTGATTATAAAACTAATAAATACGGCAGCATTTTCTATGAATTTTTAGCGGACATTACCTGTTGTATGTTGAATGGTAGGAATAATAGTCATAATGACTATACTTATGTATCGAAAAGAGGATTAAGTGTTGTTGACTATTGTATCGTGCCATGCGAAATGTTGAAATCTTTTGATTTGTTTGAAGTTGGACGCGTTTCTGCGCTTATTCAAGATCTGGATATTATCGGTATTGTAGACCCGACAAGGTGTATGCCAGACCATTCTTTACTTAATTGGTCAATGCACTTGAACTTTCCTGTTGATCAAAATAACGTACCAAAAGCCAACGCAGCTAGCTTGAAAACCAAATATGACCTTGGGAAAATACCCGACGACTGGTTAAGTAGTGAATCATTTATCTCGGATATAGATCGTATACTATGTGTATTAGAAGAGTCTGAAGCGAACCAGTGTGATATTGACAAAACATATGAAAGCTTTGTTAATAGCATTAAGTCGGAAATGTCGGAAAAAATCCCTAATAAGATGATTCATATTAACAACGGTTCCAGTAATAAGCATCGGAGATTCAAGAAACCTTGGTGGAATACAGAATTAACGGAGCTTTGGAACGAAGTGTGCAAATCAGAAACTACGTATCTTAAAACCAAAAGTCGTCATTCTAAAAAGCAGTTGCGCCATTTATATTGTCAAAACAGAAAATTCTTTGACAAAAATGTACAACAGGCAAAACGTCGTTATTGGTATAAAATGCAGGATGATTTGACCATGCAGTTCATGTGATAATCCGAAGGAATTTCGGCGTAAAATTGGAAAGATAGGCATTGGTTCAGAATGGCAACGTAACATACCGATGGAAATCAAATTAGATGATGGTTCGTCTGACCCCAGAGATCGTCTTTCATATCGTGGGATAAATTTAGCTCCAGCTACTTACAAGTTGTACTGTGGTGTTCTTGACTGTCGGATGCGGGAAAAATTTGATGCATCTGATATTATCCATGATGAGCAGAATGGTTTTCGAAAAGATCGTAACACAATTGATCACTTTTTGTCGATAACAAGTATTATAGAGTCTAGAAAACTACGTAAACGGTCTACATTTGCTGCTTTTATTAACTTTAAAAAGGCATACGATACTATAAATAGAGCATTGTTATTTAATAAATTAGAGTTACTTGGTGTTAGTTCTAAAATGATAAAGGCATTAAGATCTTTATATAATAATGTTCAGTCTTGTATTAAGTTAAATGGTATTTTAACTGACTGGTTCCCAGTTAATACTGGTTTAAAACAAGGGTGTATAATTTCACCATTATTGTTCAATTTTTTCATAATTGATTTAATTGATGAAGTCAAAAAGTTAAATGTTGGTATTAACATAGGGGGAGAAAAAGTGTGTATAATGTTATATGCAGACGATGTAGTTTTCTTAACAGAAAGTGAAAGTGAATTACAAAACATTTTGAATACTTTAGAAGACAAGAAGATCAAAGAAGCCAGGCTATTTAATTTCACTTTCAGATATATTGATGATGTTTTTTCCATTAACAATCCGAACTTTTCTGATTGGGTCCCATTAATATATCCACCCGAACTAGAAATTAAAGAAACAACAGACACGGCTACCTCCGCCTCATTTTTAGACTTATACCTCGAATTTGACATACACAGTCATCTCAGTACCAGAATCTATGACAAACGAGACGATTTTAATTTTGAAATTATCAATTTCCCCCACCGTAGTAGCAATATACCAACTTCACCTGCATATTGGATATACATTTCCCAAATTATTCGGTATTCAAGAGCTTGCAGCTCCTACACAGACTTTGTAAAACGTCACCAGTGTCTGAACAGAAAGTTGATGAACCAGGGGTATGTTAAAGAACGTGTCGTCCTTTTTCTAAAAAAGTTCGTCGGAAGGTAACAAGAACTTGTTGATAAATATTGGGTATCAACTTCACAAATAATACACGATGGTCTTGAAGTATAGATTGTGCGTACTGATGTTGTTTATCATCTTAATAACGTGTTATAGTATTCTTTTATTATCTTTATTAATATTACTTTTACTGTTAAGTCTGTTTTTTGAGATATCCATTTGACGTGACTCTGTACTTATGTATCCCGTCATACTTTGAACGACAAAATTATTTTATTTATTAATATTACTTTTACTGTTTAGTCTGTTTTTGTGATAAACATTTGACGTGACTCTGTACTTATGTATATCGTCATACTTTGTACCACACAATTATTTTATTTTATCTATTAATATTACTTTTACTGTTAAGTCTGTTTTTTGTTATATTCATTTTACGTGACTCTGTATTTTTGCATCCTGTCATACTTTGAACGACAAAATTATTTTATGTCTACCTGTGCGAATTTCAAACGCGTGATTTTACGCCAGTACTTAAAACCTTCCATCCTTTATGGGTGGATTTTACATAGATAAATAAAATCGTATAATATAAACAAAATGAGGATGTTAAATTTGAGGTATGCCTTTTTGTGCTTCTTCGTTACATTTGTTTATTTTTATAGTGATTAAGATGATAACACAATGTTGACTGCTGTACCCCTATTTTTGACATTTTTTACCTATTGTGTCTGTTTGTTTTGTTCACGCTACGTTGTCAATATAGTGGAATTTGATGCGACTGTCATACAAGTGAGAGGTTTAGCTAGCTATAAAACCAGGTTCAATCTACCATTTTCTACATAAGAAAATGGCTGTACCAAGTCAGGAATATGACAGTTGTTATCCATTCGTTTGATGTGTTGGTTTTTTTTTATTTTGCCATTTGATTGGGGACTTTTCTTTTTGAATTTTCCTCGGAGTTCAGTATTTTTGTGATTTTACTTTTTAGAATGTTGGTGTGATAGAAACATGATAAAGGTTAATCTAGAATAAAGTTATACATTTTAGAACACCTTCTGTGCCATGTACTAATTTTCCTTTTGTTTTTAATGGAAAATATGTTGATAAAGTATCAAATTATACATATTTAGGTTTATTGTTAACTGAACATTTGAGTTATGAGGATATGACAAAAGCAGTTGCTAAATCTGCCAGTAGGTCATTGGGGTTATTAATAGCAAAATGTAAAGCTCATGGTGGTTTTCAATATGATGTATATACAAAACTGTTCAATTCAATTGTATGGTCAGGGATTTACTATGGTGCCTCTATATGGGGTACTAAGGAATTTTCATGTATAAATGTTGTTAAACATAAGGCTATGAAATTTTTTATGGGAGTGGGTAGGTATACCCCTAATTTAGCACTTTATGGAGATATGGGATAGAAACCATGTATTGTTAAACAATGGTCTATCATATTTAGGATTTGGTCACGATTTAATAAGATATCTAATTGTAGACTTAATAAGAAAATTTTTCTTTGGAGTAATAATCTCAGTTTTAATAAAGTAAACAATTGGAAATGTAGAGTGAATACAAAGTTTAAAGAACTTGATCTTAATCAGTATTGTAATATTGAATGTATTTTGAGCAAGTCTGTTATTTTAAAAAGATATTGAAAACAACCTATTTATTATGTACCAGAATAAATGGCATTCAAATTTACTAGCTAATGAAAGCAGTAAATTGCTTACTTACAGGTTATTTAAATCAAATTATTGTACAGAAAAATATTTAAGTATTACTATGCCGGGTAAATATAGAAGTGCATATGCTAAATTTAGAGCAGTTGTTGCTCTGATTAAAATTGAAACTGGCAGATATGAAGGTATAGATGTAACTGAAAGGTTTTGTTTAATTGTAGAAAAAATGATTTTAATATAATTGAAGATGAAAAACATGTTTTATTAGAATGCCCAGAATATGCAGTTTGGCGAACGATCAGTTTTAACAGTGTATGTAATATAGAAAGTAGTATTAGTAATTTGAGTATTGAGGAAAAGTTTTTATTTATGTTTCATGAGTTTGATATTTTACAGCCAAAATCTGCCATGAAGTACTTTTTAAGAGAAAGTGTATTTTATACTCGTAATAACTGTATATAATGTTGTCTGTTTTTTGTTAAAACGTTTTTATTATTATGGTATTTTATGCTAAGATATATTGATATATGTTATATATGTAATATAAATGTATTTTTAATGTGTGTTTTACAGTCTCTCATAACTCTTTTTAGAGTGTCTCTTTTATAAATTGATCTGTTAATATTATATTTTGTTTAATATCAAATGTTTATAAGAGGTGAGACTCTAATAAAGTATTTGTTTGTTTGTTTGTTTGTTTACAGACGACTCGTTAGTGAGGTTTGAAAAAAAAGATAAAAGAAAAACAGTACAACATTGCAGAGCATTAAGGACCAAAAAATCCGAATACAGCTCAGATAATCGTTTCATGGAGTTAAACTCATTTCGAACAATTCAACGATTTTTTTTAAAACAGTAAGTTTATAATTATGACCATATAAATGATATTTCATGTCAACACAGAAGTGCTGACTACTGGTCAGGTGATAACAATAAATTATTAATTGTTAATTGTTGTTTGAAATATCAAAATGCACAAATTTAAACACTAAATGATAGTCCTGCAAATTGTCCGGTACTAATGTTTGTTTCATTATCACCAACTGAAGAGTCCTTGAACTTTACAGTAACTCCAGATTCCGATTCTGTGACAGATTCTTTACAGTTTATTCCACAATAAGTTTGATAACACATTCCGTTCATTTGAATTGTGTAATCCCTCCTGGCATGGATATGAAGTGGTTTAGAAAATTTCACTTCCAAAACTTGATCGTAATTTTGACCATAGGTTATTCGTTGATCGTGGTGAATTTTTTCTTCATTTGAATCATTCAGTATTTGTATGCTTATGTTAACGTTGTTACTGACAGCAACTTGATGTCCGTAGGTTGGTTGAACGTAAGGAAGAAAAATGTGTACACCTTTAAGCCAAATATCATTATCTGAGAGAAAAATTATAGACTGTATTCCTGTTGTTGCCATAGGTTGGCTTATCTGTTCATATCTATAGACTGTAATTGTCTTTCGTTGCGTAACAGTATATCTTGGGATGTTTGAAAAGATTTTCGATACTTCACCGAAATGTGACTGATAAATGGATACCGTCTCGTCATCTGTAAGTAAGCCAGAAACGACGATCTCTTTTGAAAAAAATTTCATATCAACATCTTGGAATCTAATCATGTACAAATTAGTCCCCAGAACTTCTCGAATGTTTCCACCAGAGGGCTCTAAATTTGCCAGCTTACATTGATGTTTACCCCATTTTATAATAAAATGGCAGATGTCTGTTTCTGTGCAGTTTAGATAATCTGATTTCAAAATGAGCCCTAAACAATCTCTGGAAAGACTTAATGCATATTCGGATAGAAGACATTCCTTTGTATTAATCTCAATATAGTCTAGGCTTTCCCGCTGTAGATCTAATAGACTGTGTTGGTATCCAGTTTGTAAAGCTTTGGTCGCATGCTCTGATTGTGCCGTTTGTTTTAGGACTGTCTCGCATTCTCTCTTAACAGCAGCTAACATATACTTGTCAGCTGCATACAATATCTCCTTCACATTGTCGTTTGTAATTGAAATTTGATCGCAATAAATATATCTGTAAGATAATTTTAAAAGTATTTAATTATTCCATGGCACATCGAAGTGTAACACATTGCAATTTGAATATAGATGTTATTTAAAAAAATGGGAGTTAATCTAATATATAATATTGATGACAGCCATACAAAAAAAAGAAGATGTGGCATGATCGCCAATGAGACAATCATTCACCAAACAGAAACCAACGACTACCAACCAACCCTCAAACTTCTTTTTACATCTATCTGGAAATATCACAATAAACTATACACTTAATTCCACAAGAAGATATGATACAACACAAGCAGAAAGTAGACAAAAAGAACAGGATGATTAAAGTTTCAAAACTCTTCATCTATTTGAATATCCTGTAAATTTGATTAATACATGATATCAAAACAGTATGGTATTTAATAATGGTGAAGAAATGTCATCGTGAAAATTTTTATTTTGTTTATACATTTAATTATAAAATTAGAAATGAGAACAGTGTTACACCACAAATAAATATCTAAGCAAGACTGATGCTATAATCTAGTGCTGCATTTTTCTGTTTACTAATAATGATAAACTCCATAATATAAAGAAGTCAAATGCAGAACATATCTCTAGGCTGTTGAACAATTACTGCTTTGTTAGAACCAATCATGTTGGTAATTTGCACCCAACTGGTAATAAACTAATTTCTGTTGATACAAAAACGTTTTGTAGAGATACTCACTTCAGAATATCTCGAAATGTATTTTCTTCAATATCAGGTATTTTTATGTCCCCTTTTTCTGGCAGAGACCCCTCAAACATGGTATGGAAGACATCACTTCGGCTCGACAACATATACTTGTGTGCTTTAATAGATGTTCTATAATGGCCTACTCTGAGTGTGACGTCACACATGATCTCGTTCTGTAGCATAAACATCATACATTCAGGCAAAGGTTTATTATCCCGCCATTCTGCTGTATAATGTACATTCATCTGAAGTGATATGAGGGATACGATTATACACAAAATGATACTTTTATATGTCAGACTCAGATCGACGTCCGGTGTTTAATCGACGGTTGTTCTTAAAATCGACGTCCAAATCTGACGTCACATTGAAATAAGATTACAAATCGACTGCCAATTTTATTCGCCTCTAATCGACGTCCAATTTTTGGCTTCTCTTATCGACGTCTTACTGAGTCCGAATTATAATACTCTCAAAACAGTTGGCTCTACGTGTTTGTTTTGTCCATTGTTGAAGACTGAATGTTGCCCTATATATGTCGTTTTGTTTTGTTTGTCGTTGGTTTGTTTTCTTATTGACGTATACATACATGTCATTTATCAATATAGATATGAATGACATTCGACAACGTAGGTCGATTGGATTAGCTTCTATCAAGATACATATTTATATATATGTATATGTTATAAGATGTCGGTGGTTGTCGTGTTGTCATTTATCGATGTTAGTCCTTCTATTTTTATTTTTTATTTTAATACGAATATTGATGACACACGGCAACGTAGATAGATTGGATTAACTTCTATCAGGGTTGAAAATTCTCTATGGAAAGTATATATAACTGTTCTTATAAGAACACTACAAATCAGACCCAAATTCATCTTTTATTTCGTATTTGGGTGTTTCAAAACCAATCAACGTCTTATACATGTACATGTATACGTGCAGTAATAAATTATATTTTGAAATTAGACATCGGTTAGAGAATATTACAATCAATCGAACGTCGTTTTGGCAATACATGACGTCACATTGGAAGTCGATTAGAGGATAAAAATATTGGACTTCGATTTGAGAATGTGACGTCAAATTTTGACGTTGATTTGAGGAACGTACGTCGATAAGAGATTGGACGTCGATCTGAGTCGAACATATGTATGGACACTTTAACATGTTAAATGATGAAAAAGGATCAACAAAAAAGTATATAAGAAATACATAATGCTGAAATAATTACATTAATTAAATAAAATAAATTAATTCCTTTCATTCTTGTACTTTAAAATCATTATAATCATAGAGACAACATTTTCATATTGAAAGATATCGAAGGAATGACGAGTAATAACCAAACACCTTGACTAAATTAATTTGGCTCGTTTAATTTTCATAAAATTTTGACACAATATTTACTTTGACCCTTTGACAAAAATATTTGATTTAAAAAAAACTTGAACCACACACTTTCATCTGAAAAATTATATTGGTATTATAGTATGCCGAAATAATTCTTTGAAATATTCATGTCATGCTATATGCTCTATGCTCATTTTAACATTGGTAGGCATTATATTTGTCAATATCTTTATACCGAGCGTTAGCGAGGTGTAAAATGTTGAAAAATATAATGCATACCCATGTTAAGGTTAACATAGAACATAGCATGATAGAATTATTTCGATTCTAATAGGAAGATTAAGAACTTTTGTACTTCGAAGAGGACCTATGATAAGCGGTCAAAAGGCATCCATTTTGATTTGATGAAGTTAAAACATAGAAAATTAACCGTTTCACGACAAACAAATGAACAGATACATGTAAACATACTTTTAGAATGATTTAAATAATTTCCTATCGCGCAACACCAAAACAAATGTCCGTTTTAATTTCCTGCGTTTTTGAAAACACCATTGATGTTGCAATTCAATTGTGACGTCAATAACGTTCAGTCCATGTTTTATTAGAATTAAACATGACTTTGTTTCCAAATCGAAAGATGGACGTCATATTAGAATGTGAAATCAATATCAAAAACAAAAAAAGAAATATATTAATGGAAAGTGAATTACATTTTATAGGTTTATATCACATATATCGTTTTTTCGTTCATTGTTAAAACATAAATCGCGCTGTTGGTTTTTGTCGAGAAAGCTCGACATAGGGAAAGTGATACGGCGGCGGCGACAGCAGCGGCGGCTTTAACTAACTATTTAAGTCTATGTATTTTAGAAGGTGGAAGACCTGGATCCTTTGTATATAGATGCATTATGTTATGCAGTTTTCGTCTGGCATAGTCCATTGTCATTGACTTCAATTTCATGGTTCAGTGACTACTTGAAAACAAAGATTTTTTGTAATTTTAATTTCTGTCTAATTATGAGTAATAAGATAACTTTATTTTTATTTTCGTAGTAAAGTCCATTTATCAGATAATATAATCAATAGGTATACTAAATTTGGTGTATCGTATGATTGTAAGGTGTACATGTCTAGCTGCAGGCAGGTGTCATCTGACCTTGACCTCGTTTTCATGGTTCTTTGGTTAAAGTTAAGTTTTTGTGATTTGGTCCGTTTCATATACTATATCCAATAGGTCAACTATATTTGGTGTGTGGAAATATCTTTTATTTGACCTTGACCTCATTTTCACGGTTCATTGCTCAGTAAATAGTTTTTTTGTGTTTTGCTTAAGGCACAAAGATAAGTTGCAGCTGCTGAACTGGAGTTTTTGTGATTTGGTCCGTTTCATATACTATATCCAATAGGTCAACTATATTTGGTGTGTGGAAATATCTTTTATTTGACCTTGACCTCATTTTCACGGTTCATTGCTCAGTAAATAGTTTTTTGTGTTTTGCTTAAGGCACAAAGATAAGTTGCAGCTGCTGAACTGGAGTAACGCTTTTGGAGTCAAAGACAGACAAGCGTTAATCGATCTTCCTGTCAAGACTGAACAAGAGGCTGTCGAGTGACAGCAAACCGGATTTTCCTGCAGAGGTCGAACCCTGAACAGTTGAGCAAGTATGGACACAACATGTAAGCTAAAAAAAGCTCTGAATTTTAGATTGTGATTGAATATTTGAAATAGATTATTATCTAATTAATAATGAAAATGATATTTGCAAATCTGAACCCCAAACAGGATCATGTAAAAATTAAACATTAACACACACAAAAATAATTAAATACCACATAACAACTGTTACATCTACCTTCATAACACACATGCCTTAAAAAAAATTGTTATAAAGAAATTTTGATGTTATCATTACTGGTTCATGGAATAAGTTTGAGTTATTTCCCTTTGGACAGAAATATGGTTCAACATAGTACTCTAACATTAGATATGATTAATAGTTCTCTAAAATTAGATATGATGTAACACATTGTATATCTATTTTTAAATTATAATCAAATATAATTAATAGTTCCTAATATTTTTTCTTTCATTTGTCACAAACTTATATACATTTGCAACTTATCTATCAATGTCAACTTTATGTACGCAATGTAATGTAATAAAATATATCCTTTAATAAAAATAGATTATTATCTAATTAAAGGAGTTCACTTCATAAAACAAATATTATATATATAGCATTCAGAAAATTAGTTTATACAGAATAACAAACAAACCTACCACAAAATTCTTCAAACAATTTACCAAAGAAAAATAAAAAAATCCAAAATGTCATTTATCATTAATACAATGTCTTTTAAAAATCTTTAAAAAAATGAGTTATTTCCCTTTGTACAGAAATGGATTAATTCATGACAAATTGAATTCTTGGGAAAGGGCTATAACTTAACAACGAGAAAAGCTAAAATCTTGAAAATTGAACTTGACCTTCTTTTAGCATTGTTTAGTCACAGGAAACAACATATCTAAATTTAAAAAAAATTCTTCAAAGCGTTTTCATGTAAATGAACAGACACTGTTTGGCAGCCGCCCGCTCGCCCGCCCGCCCGCCCGCCGTACTTCCCCAAATCTATAACCAATTTTTACTTTGAAAATCCGGTTAAAAAAGGATGTCCAATTTCAACAATAAACATCTTAACTTGATTGTCGTACTGAAAATCGTAGACATATAAAGATAAGCCAGACTCCAGTTGCAGCTGATCTAATCATAAATCGTCAATTTTTGTGCCACCTATGACACCGAACTTGCAATTATAATCCCCTGCTGTATTTCATCCAGATGTTACGTCACGTTAAACATTGCCGTGACGTCAACCTATTCTTCTTCCGTGGTTTCTTTTTCTAGAATCAACGGCCGTTCCTAAATTTGTCGCTGAAATGAACTCACTAAAATACATTCATTTGTTTCCTTTGTTTACCTAATTTCATTAAGTTTGAATTGGCTAATTTACTGATTTTCTATAAAGATGAAATTTACGAGAGGTGATATATTCCTGAATAAATCTTTATCATGGCGAAATTAGCGAACATTTTCCCCTTTTCAGTAGTGTTTGATAAACGGAATGTTGTATATATTAAATATTAAAATTGCACCTAAGCTCCGGAAAAACATTTGTTGATACTTGTTACAGGCATATAAATTAAATGACACGGATTTAAGTTGTGATTTAAGCAAACCGTCGTTATTCTTAAACTATGTGGCACAATAAATATCAATTATTTAAGAACTGGAAAAGACATTAACATATATGGTATGACTACTACTAATGTAAAAATTATTTTTTAAAGAACATCTAAGGTTCAATTACATTTACATTTACCTCAGGATGAGCCTTATTCCTTCCAACTTTATGTTTATTCATTCCAGACTCATAAAGCCTACAGAAAAAAGAGATTTATACATTAAATGAAAATGACTGAATGCTGCGAAAAGCCACAGAAGAATGCTTTGGTCGGGTTGTTGTCTCTTTGACACATTCCAAGTTTCCAATATCTCATTATCTATGCTATTAAAAAAAATGAAAATAGTTTAATGCTGAAAACATAGGTTTAAACTCCCTTCTGCAAAAATGAATGAAAAAAACAAACAAAAACCGAATTTCAAAAAGAGAATGTCCTTAAAAACTTTTTCATCCAACGAAACGAAAAAAAACAACTGTTACATTCCTGATTTGATGATGGGTTAAACCTGATTTTATAGCTAGCTAAACCTCCCACTTGTATGACAGTTGTTTATAGTTTTGTTATATTGACAAATTGGAGGAGCATAATGATTCAGGTCCCTTTCTGTCATTTTGGCACCCACCGTTACGCATCAATGGCCTTTAAGTATTTTGATTTGAGTGTTTCTTATAAAAGTAAACCTAGTTCAGTGTTTCGCCAGCACGAAATTCATAAAATATTTATATAGCATAAAATAATGTCCCCAATACTGTCCACCGGACTAAATGTCATAGAAAATACTGTCCGCAGACAATATTTTGAAATAAGGTACTGTTTAGGACAACATTTCAGTATTAAATAATGTTCTTTGCTATGAAATGTGTCGAATTCTTCCGGAAAATATTTAATCATGATAATGTTTCGCTGTGAACTCATGTACATGACAATATGTTCTAATAAAAGTTAGTTTTCCATGTCTTCCTCTTGAAACGTATGTGTATAACCTTGAAATGCTGTATCATAGTAAATAATAATCAACTACAGTAGACCAGCATGAAGCATGCACATTTTATATTAATAACTAAAAATATGTGTGAATGACTAAAGTCAGTTGTGTTAATTATACCATAGTATACTGTATAAATATTAGTTTAAGTTCTGTTAATCACTTCTAATATATGCTTGTTATTATCAATAAAATAAAAAATTTAGGTTATTAATGATATAACGAAATTAAAAACAACCATAACCTACCTAGTTTGTCCCAACTTGTCTTTGTCAATTATATTTGTGATACCCATTTACATATGTTTTATTCAATCGATAGAATTTGACGCTTTTCAATACATGATAATTGTTTTATTGTGTATGTCACAGTAAGGTATTCAGTGTCATTTAAAATTTATATCAATACTGAATATTCTAGGAGGTCATTCGGTTTATCTAGAAATCAGTTTGTTAAACTACAATTGTTTTGAATCGGTTTTGTGATCTGTTGTTGCATGTTATATCATTACAATTTTAAACTATTTTTGTACTATTTATCTCGTTAAGAAATGAGCATGGGGGAAAATTAAAAAGGTTTTTGTATGATACCATCGCAATACATTTAAAATTAAACCACGAGAGAAATAAGTAAAGGCGTGTTTCTTGTATCAGAATTAAATGGATAAACTCAGACATGTTACAATGTAGGTATTACCATTAACGGAAAATGCACGCAGGAAAGGAAATGTGTTGAAATCATAACGATTTATGATGACATTACTTGTTCGTATATCTGAGCGTGTTCTGTATTGAAATAATGAAAGTCCGTACGATGACCATGAAGCTAACTAGGAAAATTAACATGCGAGGAACTTGCAATCAATTTCTGTATATATATATTTAGTAACATTTCAGAAGCTTGTATAACGTATTTCTTAGAATGATTCCAAATCAGATGAATTCCGATGAAATAATATCAATTTATTAATCTCACTACAGAAAAATCCACAAAGAAAGAAGCAATTTAAAGGCAAACTGATTCAGAATATGTATTTAAAAAGATCAATTAAAGGTTTACACGCAATATCCTTCTATACAAGTAGTGATTTAGGTGTAATACCACCATTGTGTTTCCCCATTAGTCTTTGTTAAATTTGCACTTTTCAAAAAATTGTGCAGAATTTATCTTTGTTTCAAATAAAGAAATACTTGGCATGAGTAAAGTTTTATCCTGTTCAGTACTAAAGAAATAATTTCACATTACATTTCATTGATAAATAATATAAATAGATAAACCATCACTGGAAGTTAACCAATAGAATGTTCAGCCCCTTTTTACCTGTGTACAAGATTTTCATGTAACCTCAAGTTTCAAAAGTATTGAATAGAAACACCAAATAAAAAAATAATGGTGCTTTGAAACACCAAAGATATATGTTTATGACTCAGAAATTTGTTACTGCAATGAAATGAAGGATTAATTTCCTTCAACTGTCAAATTCAAGGGAATATTTTTTTCGACGCTTTTTTTGTTGCACTTCAGTGTTCCTGTTGTTCGTTTGTTTTCCTCTTATAGTTGATGTGTTTCCCTCGGTTTTAGTTTGATACCCAGATTTGTTTTCTCTCAATCGATCTATGACCTTTGAACACCGGTATACTATTGTTGACTTTATTTTGTATGTAACCGGATGTGACGTACTGTGATTAAGTGGTAAATAAAGGCAACAGTAGTATACCGCTGTTCGAAACTCATAAATCGATAGAGATAAAAACAAATCCGGGTTACAAACTATAGCTGAGTGAAACGCATCAACTATAAGAGGAGAACAACGACACAACAAAAACACAACATTAAAATGTAACACACACAGAAACCAACTATAATATAACAATGACCATTTTCCTGACTTGTTACAGGACATTTTAAGAGAAAAATGGTGAGTTGAACCTTTTTTTGTGGCATGTCAAACCTCCCGCTTTTATGGAAACGTCAAACACAACACCAAAACGACAACATCACATGACAGGACGACAATACAAATAAATGGGAGAACATATAGGACAAAGAAACATACGAATAATAGCTAACAAAAGGTACTAGGCTTAAAATTCAATACGCCAGACGTGCGTCTCGTCCACACAAGACCAATCAGTGACGCTCAGATGAAAAAAGTTTGAAAGGCAAAACAAGTACAAAGCCGAAGAGCACCGAGGACCAAAACTTCCAAAAAGTTGCGCCTAACACGGTCAGGGTTTTCTGCCTGGGTCAAGAACATCTTTATTATTTAGAATAATTTATAATTTTGCAAACAGTAAATTTTATAAAATGACTATATAATAGATATACATGATAAAACCGAAGTGGGGACTAACTACAGAATAAAAACGGAAACATTACATAAAGAAACTTAATCCAAAACATAAAAATACACAGCCGAGTTAGCCAAAGCCTCAACGCACAAAGTGACGTCACATTTGAAATTCTAAAAAAACACACAAAGTGACGCCACATTTGAATTTGTAAAAATATTTCCCAAAAATAAGATAGGATTAGGATTGATTCAAGATTAGATTTGTAATACTGACATTACATTAATTAATAACAATGAAAATTACAATACTTATTAATATCAAATTGTGGTAGTAATTAGATAATTAATTTTATTATCTAGCTATGTCGGTGTTTCTTCTGAATCAAACTGTAAACCAAATATATCGTATCAAATTCAGTGAACCAAATTAAAATCTAATAAATGAAGGGGGTAATTAATTATCTTTACCATAACACACGAATATAACAGAAAAGACGTTAAGACATTTGACAAAATCCGACGAGAATAACAAATATAACATCAAAATTAAATACATGAATTTGGGATAGAAAAGTACCGTGACACGTCTTATAGCAATGCGGTTTCACACTCAGCAAAACAGTCATAATCGGGAATAAGTCACGTTCGGTAATTAAAAGATCAGACGACGTAATGACAAACCACAATCTAACACGTGGTAAACATGTCCTTAGTTAGTTTGGACAAAGACACATCGTATCGATCAACCAATTCGTGATGGTGTCCGTAAAATTTACGGAGTGTCATTTTTAATCTGTCCTCCTCATAACTTTGTTGGAGCAGTTTCTGCATAAGGAGCACACTCCTGTATATGAAGTCCGTATAGTGTGAACAAGCACGAGAATAACATATCAATTGAGATATGTAAACACCATACGAAGGGGCAGAGGGTATGTTACTGCTGAGAAATGGGAAAATGATAATTGGGAAGTTGAAATCGTCCTGTATGGTTAACTGGAGTCGTTATAGGTTGTCCATTTGTCGACTTTCGAAACAAAATCTTTTGTTTTGAACACTGACAGCTGAATTACAAGTACTTTCTTATAACAACAGTCCTGTTGCCAGTTCATTATAAAGGTTTCAGTTGGCCGGAGAGAACGGCGAGATGTATGGTAAATGTCACGATATGATTCTTAAAAGCAAACTGAAGATTTCTGATAACCAGCTATATACATGCACTTTAACAATAGAAATTACCAAAACAGCTTCTGTGGAATATATGTGCTATTTTTGAAATAGTGGCGTAACAAACTATTAGCGACAGTATAACGGTCATTTTCCAAATTTCAACAAGATCCAACGCCGGAACAAACATACGACAAGGCCAGTTTGCTGGATTAATATTCGACATTTGTTGCACAAAGGAAAATTAAATGCTGTCTATCTAAATCATACTTTATAAAAGATGAGCCTACCCGATTTAATGTGTGTACTTAGTTTATTTAGTAAAAATAACCAAAATAACAAGTAGTACAATTTAACAAAAAATTCAAAACATGGGATTTGGAAACATTTTTGGAAAAACTTTTATGAACCTGTCCCCATAACTGAATGTTCATACTGGAGTAGCATGCTACTTGGGTAATGTTAGCTGATAGCTAGTTGATTAAGATTGTTTTGAATCTTATATGTTCATCAGTATTTAAGAAAAATGAGATTATTAAGATCATCATTGACAAATTACATATGTTGGGTTAAGACCGATGGCTACAGTGCTGAAGGTCCCGAGCTCGATTCTCACTCGGGGCGATAAAATATCATTACATCAGAAAGGTGATTTTCACCCTCTCACACACATTTCTGGTACCCAGACCAGAGTTTAAACTTGAATGGGTCCTTTGGGGGCCTCGGTTGGTCAATGTTGCCTCGACTTTGACCTGGAGATGAATCTACTGATATTAGTGACACATCTCCATTAATGTGTACACGGATTCCACTATACCCTCGCCGCTCTCGTGGGGGGCTCCATAAACGGAATGATATACATACATACATACATATTAAGTCTAAATTGAAAACAACGTTCAAACCTATGTTTGCGTTGGATACACACCGCAATTTTTAAACGTGTGCATGCAAAACAAATCTCTTGGTAGAGGGGTCTAAATACAGCACAAACAACATTTTCCAAAAGACCAAAAAAGTGAAAAGGTATATTTAAACAAAACGCATTTGACTAACAGGTTAAACAAGGATCGATGTTCTTAAAACCCTGCTGACTGCCATTGGCGATTGCCAAATAAACGGATTAAAAGATGTAACAAAATGGATCTTTATTAATAATTTAATACCAAACAGAAAACAATAAACTTACGGAAAAGATGGTACACCGCAATTATGAGGTGCAAAAATTTGTACACCATTTCCGGATTTCGACAATTATTGTCTCTTCAGTGATGTTAGGAATCGAAACGGTATTTGTAAGGCCATATAACTTACCTCAATTTAGGATAGACTCTTGAATTTTGAAGAGTCGAAATAGGATGAACGGATCATATAAACCCGAAGGCAAATATAATACAAGCCCAAACGAAATAATATAAATAAGTCTAAATTGAAAACAACGTTCAAACCTATGTTTGCGTTGGATAAAAACCGCAATTTTTATACGTGTGCATGCAAAACAAATTTCTTGGTAGAGGGGTCTAAATACAGCACAAACAACATTTTCCAAAAGACCAAAAAAGTGAAAAAGTATATTTAAACAAAACGCATTTAACTAACAGGTCGAACAACGGATGTTAACTAAAACCCTGCTGACTGCTATTGGCGATTACCAAATAAACGGATCACAAGATGTAACAAAATGGATCTTTATACATACATACATACATATGTTCAAAGGAAGTTTACTTAAAATTTACAAAGGTAGCAGCTTTATGTTATGACATATCTGTTTCACAGATGACCACGGATATAATCAACTTGTTGGAGCCACAATATCTTCCTCGTTTCTCGTCATAAGCAACTTATCACCTATATAAAAAATAAGGAGATGCGGTATGATTGCCAACGATATAACTTTCCAACATATTTCACAGTTAGCGAATGTAAGCAATTAAAGACAACCATACGACCTTCAACAATGAGAAAAACTCATACCGTATAGTTGGCCAATCAAGGTCCCGACATGAAAAATATGAAATAATTAAATTGAGAAAATTAACGGCCTAATTCATAATTAATCAGTTTACGAAAACAAATATGACAGACGTCAACCAACGACAACCACTGAACCACTGGCACCTGGTTTGGGACAGGCACATGTTTTTACTTGCGACAAACAACACGACGGTTGCACTTGTGGGGAAGATACTGCTTATCCTTCAAGGGTACATAATTTCACTTCGGGTTTCGGTTTGATTGGCTATCTTTAATCTTTTGTTTTAATTTACAATCAATAAAGACAAGGGGGATTATAGAACTGGTTTAACTCTTAACACATTTTATGTCTGTTCCTAGAAAGGTCAGTATTTAAGTTTTCTTTGATAAGATTTGAGTGTTTAGAGGATTTTTCTTTTAAACATCTAGTTCAATTGTGTTTTCATGTAAATAAGTGATTTTTTATGATTGACTTTCATATTAAGCATGTTGGCAGGAAATTTAATTTTTGCTTTTCTACGCGTTCCCACTAACGCTATTGTTCTATAACGTCGGATGAGTGTGCGTTCTCACTTTATTTCGATACATTTTGATTGAAAACGTTTTGTCAACCCTATTGTTTTATAATGTCGGATGTGTGTAAATACAGAGTAATTTCACGTGTGAATCATCCGTTTTTATTTCACTAGAAAATTACGGTATTTCATTGCAACAATAGTCACGAAAATCCTAATGTTTAGAGTGTTTGCTACAGTACTGAGTGTGGACGTTTAACTTGTAAAAGTGCCAATCTGTTTATTATCTTTTAGTTATATGCTTATATATAAATACAATATTTCATAAAACAGACTTAAAAAGATATCATCCTGTCCAAGGTACATCACAGGGGTTCCATGGTTTGCAGGATTTGTCTGGATCATTATCCTGGAAAAAATAGTATTCATCATAATGGTCATAAACTAACTGAATGTAATAATTGTCCTCCTAAAACTTTTCAATATTTTGTACACCTACATGTAATTAATTCTAACACGGAACACTTTGTGTTATTAGTAATTTATGAGTGGTTTGAAATATACGTACATGTAGTTTTATTAATATTAACTAAAACAATGATAGAAGATTGATTTTTAGCGTTAAATGTTTTATGTTCATTCAGGACGGTTGGGTCATGGAACTTTATGAGACCGACCCGATGAGTCAGATTTTTTTAATAAAAATTTAACGTACAAAAAATGGTACTCCTGAAAAGGAGAGATATACTCCACAAAAGGAGAGATATACTCTAAAAAAGGAGAGATATACTCCACAAAAGGAGAGTTATACTTCACAAAAGGAGAGATATACTCCACAAAAGGAGAGATATACTCCACAAAAGGAGAGATATACTCCCCAAAAGGAGAGATATACCACATAAAAGGAGAGATATACCACATAAAAGGAGAGATACACTCCCCAAAAGGAGAGATATACTCCCCAAAAGGAGAGATATACTCCCTAAAAGGAGAGATATACTCCATAAAAGGAGAGATATACTCCACAAAAGGAAAGATGTACTCTCCAAAAGAAGAGATATACTCCCCAAAAGGAGAGATATACTTCACAAAAGGAGAGATATACTCCACAAAAGGAGAGATATACTCCACAAAAGGGAGAGATATACTTCACAACAGGAGAGATATACTCCACAAAAGGAGGGATATACTCCACAAAAGGAGAGATATACTCCATAAAAGGAGAGATATACTCCCCAAAAGGAGAGATATACTCCATAAAAGGAGAGATATACTCCACAAAAGGAAAGATATAATCCACAAAAGGAGAGATATACTCCCCAAAAGGAGAGATATACTCCACAAAAGGAGAGATATACTCCCCAAAAGGAGAGATATACTCCATAAAAGGAGAGATAACACAGAGCTAACCAGTCAGAGAAGCATCACATATCATTTTGAAAGTCTTTGAGTTGAATTAGCCATGGATGAAACCAAAAACTAATTAAGGATGTTCGCTACTCTTGTTTTTGACTTTTTGTCAGATATTCGGAATCCTCTAGTTTTATTCATGTAGTACCAATGAAAAAAAATTCCCACTAACCCTTACTTTTCTGTTCATATTTTTATTACATATAGTTTAACTAGTCATTTATGAAAATCTTATAAAATCCTTGTTTTTTTTTCATAGTGTTCGAAAGAAAAAAGGTGCCAATGTTAAATGTATGAAAAATCTAGAGAGAATCATTTCCCGCCAAATTTTCAATTGATTATATCATAAAAACAAAGTCACGGACCTATCATTTTTTTTTGCTTTTTAAGTTCAGTTATTTATATACTATCAATTTATAACAGTCGATAAAAAAGCTAGTCATTTTTAAAAAGAGGAGCGAACAGCCTTAATATGAAAACATAGGATTGCTTCTAATTTTCAAAGAAGTTCTGGCAACCTTTACTTTGTTCCCCATTTTTATAAACGAACATTTGTGTAATGTCGATAACTAGTTTCCCATTATATACAAGGCACGAAAAAATGAAGTTTCGTTTTTCGTTGGTTTGTTTAAATCTTTCTGTTTTCATTTGATTTGTTTGTGTTTTTTAAATTCTTTTGTTTCGTTTTTATTAATACAAAAGAAGAGGTGTGTGTTATCTATCCATGACACAAAATCAGTATCTGCACAGCAAAAACACAAATAAATAGCAAAGGACCAGCGCTTTTACTGCTGTTTTTCGTCTCAAAGTCACAGTGAGGCCTTCAATACGGAGCAAAAAAAAGAAACCAACTCTCACCTTACTGCAAGTTTAAGACGACACGTAGCACCTTATTGTTTGTTTTATACCTAAAGTATTTAATTCTTGTTTTTCCTTTGATTTTACCCAATTAGAAAGCAACGCCAAATAGTCGTTAAACAAAACCTGTACTCACTAATATTGCCATATCTTCGTCATTTAATGACCAATCAAATACTAGCATATTTTCTTCTATTCTACCAGATTGTACAGATTTAGGAATTGTTATGAAACCATGTTGTAAACTCCATCTAATAAGTATTTGTGCTGGTGATTTGTTGTTTCTGAAGAAAAAAATGAAGCGAATTTGTTTAAATCAAAGAAAGAACGCTTTATGCACCAAGCCAAGACAGATATAATGAATGGTACAAACAACACTTTTATAGAACTATGCATTCTGTTCATAATCAAAGTAAAATTAAACAAATATGATATTAGGAAGAAAAACATTTTCGTCTGCTTATAATTTAATTTTGGATGTAACGCGTCTTCTGATTGGCTGACGGTGTTTTGTTTATCAGCTCATAGACATAATTTAGTCATGTGACCGTGACGTCGTCAACGTTTTTTCATAATTTACTCCGGTTTAAAATGGAATTTAGAATTAAATTATAAGGAATGACTGTAATATTTTTTCTGTCTATAGATTCGAAATAACATAAAAAATGTGGTGCACCCTTTAAAATAACCCGCTACGCGGGTTATTCAGACGTGAGTGTGCACCACATTTTTGATGTTATTTTTTTCATAGACAGAAAAAATATAACAGTCATTCCTTAAATATCGTCGGACGACATTTTTATTTGGGACCTTAAAACGGGACCTTTTTGACAGTCACCATGGAACGAGCACGAAATGAGTTTATCACCCATCTCGCTCATTGTTCGCAATAGGAACTTTTGCATACATAAAATTGTTCCTATCATTTTGTTGAATATCCTGTATGATTAAAAGCCCTGAACTTTAGTCCTTTTTTCATGAGTTGTCCCATCTTGTACTAATTTTCCTTTCCATATTTTCGTTATCCTTGCAATGTAGTCTGTCTAGTATTGCTTTACTTCATATTTAGGGTGCGTTTATGTCATATTATTTTATAGGTTGTCTTTTATATATATATATATTTGTATAGTGCTTTTTTTCATCTTAATTTTTTTAATTTCGGCATTCAGATTTATATTCACGCAAGATATAGAAAATTTTCTTGATTTTATCAAAAATGTGACTATAATTGTGCACACGAACCTTTTTGCAATCTCACAAAGTGTTTCGTCATCAAATCTGTGTTCTTTGACGAGAGGAGCATATCCCATAACTGCAATATTATTGTCTCTACAGTATTTAACTATATCTGGTTTCTGTTGCCATGGATGTAGTTCTATCTGATTAACTGATGGTACAGGGAGTCCATAAGAATTTATACCCTCTAAATGTTGGATACCAAAATTGGATACACCTACCGATCTATAAAGTGATACTTCAGTTACATACATAGTATATTTTTCAAAATAATCTCAAAATTGTAAGAAGATATATGTCATTTAGAAACTGAATTACTTTATAACAAAAAGTGAAACCCTGACGTGTTAAAATGCAAACATAATATACACAAGTGACAAGAAACATGCAAATACATGGAAAAATGCACCGCTGGGGCGCAGCTTGATACGACCGCAGAGGTCGAACCCTGAACAGTTGGGGCAAGTATGGACACAACATTCAAGCTTGATACAGCACTGAATTTGGATTGTAATTAAATATTTGATACAGCATAGGTTTCTGACACAGAATGAAAGTGGTCTAAGAACTTAATTTTTTTTAATTTACCTATTCAAACCATATCACTATTATTTGTTTTTATATATAAATCAGAAATAACCAACTTAAAATGGAAAATTTTAAAGAAAAAAAAGGAAAAAAAAATCCCCCCCCCCAATTTTTTGAACCCCCTTATGATTCATCACCCCCAAACTCAATCCCAGCTTTCCCTTTGTGGTATGGTACCTTGTAGTACAATTTCAGAGAGATCCATACACTTGAACACAAGTTATTGTCTGGAAACTCGAAAAATGCTTGTTTTTTGGCCCCAAATTCCTAAACGTTTAGGGCAATTACCCCCAAACTCAAACCCAGCTTTCCCTTTTGTGATATGGAACCTTGCAGTGCAATTTCATAAAGATCCATAAACTTACACACACGTTATTGTCCTGAAACTAGAAAAATGCTTGTTTTTTGCCCCTTTTATGTCCCCTAATTACTAAAATTTTGAGGGAATAACCCCCAAAATCAATCCCAGCCTTCCCTTTGTGGTATGGTACCTTGCAGTACAATTTCAGAGAGATCCATACACTTGAACACAAGTTATTGTCTGGAAACAAGAAAAATGCTTATTTTTGGCCCCTTTTTGGCCCCTTATTCCTAAACTTTTTGAGCAATTACCCCCAAACTCAATTCCAGCTTTTCCTTTGTGATATGGAACCTTGTAGTACAATTTCATAAAGATCCATACACTTGAACACAAGTTATTGTCATGAAACTAGAAAAAGGCTTGTTTTTTGCCCCTTTTTGGTCCCTAATTCCTAAAATTTGGAGGCAATTACCCCCAAAATCAATCCCAGCATTCCCTTTGTGATATGGAACCTTGTGGTACAATGTCAGAGAGATCCATACACTTACACACAAGTTATGTCTGGAAGTTACAAAAATGCTTATTTTTGGCCCCTAATTCCTTAACTATTGGTACCATAACCCCCAAAATCGATCCCCACCTTCCTTTTGTTGTATTGAACCTAGTGGTAAAATTTCGTTGAGATCCATTCACTTAGACTAAAGTTAGAGTGCGAAAACCAATGTGTCTTCGGACGACGACGACGACGACGACGACGCCAACGTCATACCAATATACGACCACAAAAATTTTTTTGCGGTCGTATAAAAATGTTAAACAAGTCAAGTTAATATATATTTTATTATATAATATCAGAAGTCCATTACTTAATGGACTTCTGATAATATATATATATTATAAGTATATAGATAATTGACCATATATGTACAGTAATATGCAAAAATCGCAATCTCAAAGTATGCAATCTCTTGGAAAAATATGCAAATTGTAATGATTCTATGAACATGTATTAATTGCATATTTTCCTATGTTGTTGCATAATTTATTAGATTTGTCGTCATCTTGTTCGCTGACCACCTTAAAGTAAACTTAGCAATAATAACTCAGTAAATCTTAAGAAGTAATATATAATTAATCTAAATGGTGTTTTTGTATGTATGAAATCCGAATATATAAAACAGCGATTATCATATTTTCAATGTTTGCTTGAAATAAAGATACATGTTCATAACTACGGAAATGAAAAATGGAACAATGCTTTATTTTCTTATTCTTTATATTTATTTTCAAAGTAACAGTAAGGCTTCCCATACGAAGCAACATCTCACATAGTATCAGACTTCTTTCATAACACAGAGGAATAACTGAAACAGTTAGACAACCTCTTGGTACATCAAACTTTTTGATAAAGATCACATATGATAGGTAATTAAATAATAATGATGTGAAACATGCTCTGATTTTTATAGTTTGTTCTTACACCACTGTCACATGCTAGAAGAGGGTAGAGATCACAAACATGTTAACCCCGCCATATTCGTTAAGTGCATGCCCCAAGTCAGGAACCTGTAGTTTATATAGTTGTTGTTGGTTCATGTCTGTCATATTTGTTTTTCGTAAATTGTTTTGTTATAGATTAGTCCGTTAGTTTTCTCAATTGAATTGTTTGATATTTTTCGTGTCGGGTCTTTCATAACTGACTATATGGTATTGGTTTTTCTCATCGTTGAAGGTCCTGCCATTGCCTATACTTGTTTATATCCATTTCATTTGAAATTTAGTGAATAGTTGTCTCATTGGCAATCATACCTCATCTCCTTGATAGGATTACTTACTTTATATGACCTTGTTCTTTCAGTTCCAACATGGCTTTGTATGTTTCGATTATTTTACCACTTTTTGGTGAGTGTACTAGGTAAAGATCTATATACCGCACATCTAGCCTGAAACATAAACATATGACTTTTTGGTGAAATATGTTGTGATCGACACTCTTAACATTTTATACTCGCCAAAAATCGTAAAAATTCTGTTGCGGACAATGAAATTTAATGATCGTGTAATATTTAAACAAATGCTGCATTTTGAAATGCCATGTGATTTGCTGAGGTGATTTGAATCAGTCTTTTCTATCTATCCCTCCATAAATTGTGTTTAAATTATTTTGGAGAATAGATTTTTTTAATACTTCGGTAGCAGTAATTCCTTTCCTCGGATAAGTAATTCCCCCTTTTAACTTCATACACAATCGACTTGAGACCATGTTTTATTCTCTCTGCTCCCACTACAACTGTTTAAGGTAGTGCAAAAATATAGCCATGGCTGATTACTCTGTGATTAAAAGTATAGTCTAGATTAAAGTTAGACAACTGTTCAATTTATTAAAATTTACTGAATGATGTTTATATGTTAATCTGCACTAAATCAACTCGGCTGAACATTTTGTCAATGGACTGCGGTCGATAGAACTCGACCAATCTTACCATCCCTGTAAACGCGTTCAGGTAGTTACATCTGTTGTTAGATACTAACTTGATCTGTAGTTTTAAACATGCTGTCAGTGTATAATATTACTTACTTTTCCAAACTTTCTTTGAATATTTTCTTGCATCGATCGTAACCATTTTCACTAAGCTTTGTGACAAGAAAAACATCTTCTCTGTTTAATCCGGATTTCTTTAGTTCTCTTCCTACATCGGCTTCATTTCTGTAACAAAACGAAGAAGAGTTTTGTATGTATCTATCACATGGTGTGAATGGAAGACAAAGAGGAAGCAACATACATCAATGGACAACTAGGGAGCAACCATTTAACTTCACAAGGGGGCGGGGGCGTTATGGTTTATTGTCGGAGTCAGAAAATTTTTATTTAGTTTTTCAACGCTATCAATCAAATTATTTTTTTCAATATTTAACACTATAAGGTATTGGGAAAATAAGGGTTCAGAATTTTTTTTTCTGCATCGTCTTGACCAGAATATATTTTTTCATCAAATTGGGAATCAGAATATTTTTTTTGGAAAAAAAACATACACCCCCTCCCTCCCCTTTGAAATTAAATGGTCGTTCCCTTATGTCAAGTTGTAAATTCCAATTCAACAATGTAGTACACACGACCTTAAACAACCACTAACTCAGTTGACTGACTAACAGACACATAACTATATGTATTTGCTTAATGTGGATTTTGAGATCCCAAGCCTTCCTTTTGCTTAAAAAATATATCCCAGTATATGAGATACACATAAGAGCATACAGGAAATTCTAAAGTAAAAAAAAATCAGTTAAGGATAATCATTAAACTCTAGAATATTGTGCTGTATCAATGAATGCTCGTAATTATTGAGGGCAACTCAAATTGAAAACTGATAAGATCGTTTGTTGTACCTAATAGACAATTTTATGTCAAAACGCATTTTAACCACGCAACATATATTGATACGTCGTTCTTAAGTTTGCAGTCGTTACAGTGGTCTTAATCTATATGGTCTCTTATATTGAATTTTGCTGATGGAAGATCTTTTATCATCACCTTTAAATCTATTCGTTTCCTCTCTTCATCAAGTTTATAATTTGAGATATTAAATAGATTTATTATACTTCACGTAAAAATGCAATATTTTGATTGGCTTATACGAGGGTGTTAATTTACTCTATTCTATGGTAAATACTCTATTACCCTTCACGGAGACACTTGATCAAGTGTGCGCTTTATTAAATACGACTCTATCATATGGTAAATACTCTACTACCCTTCACGGAAACTCTTGATCAAGTGTGCGCTTTCTACATAAGAAAATGCCTGTACCAAGTCAGGAATATGACAGTTGTTATCCATTCGTTTGATGTGTTTGAACTTTTGATATTCCCATTTGATTGGGGACTTTCCTTTTTGAATTTTCCTTGGAGTTCAGTATTTTTGTGATTTTACTTTTTATTAAATACGGATGGTTTGAATTTGAAATTTAATCGACAGTGATAACAGAACATTCAGTATAATAAATTTAATAACACATATCTGAGAGGGTGATAGAGCAGATTGTTACCCCTCGAAAAGACATTGTCAACCTTGGGTTCGCCTCAGTTGACAATGTTTTCTCGGGGTAACAATCTGCTCTATCACCCTCTCAGCTATGTGTTATTTATATAATGGTGACCTCCGAATAATGTGTAAGGTATTGTCTAACTAACCATGTTAACTCCGCGTCTTCTTTTACATGTTTTAATCGAAATACATTTTGAAGAAATTAGATTATAGATAAGTGGATAACACCTTGAAGTTTTGAAAGTTTTGAAAGTTTGTTTTTGACTTTTACCACGACAGGTTTTGCTTGAGAATATTTTTACCAGTACTAAAACAGAGTATCGTTGTTCGTCTGTTATATGTAGTCTCGTAGGTTTATCAGTCAAACCAAAGTCCTTAATATTTGTAGTTGGAACTTTTCTGCACGAAAGTGATCGGCTTAAAGTCAGAAACATAAGTCCGAGTATATTTCTCCTGTGGACTATTGTCATGTGAACTATAGCACGTACAAATCCAGCTCCAGATCAGCTTGAAAGAAAAGTTTTTTCAGCTTTTTAGTTTTAAATTTTTATGACATTTTTCTCTTAAATTCAACACTTTTTGCTGTTACGTTCTAAGTTGTAACAGTCTATTAGTTTGCAACCAACAACCAATCAAATTTGTTCTCGTCCTGAACATGCATGAAATATATGTCACTTGACGTTAAGCAACCAACAATCAATCAAATTTGGTCTCGTCCGTTGCATGCGTTGTTTTCGTCCTGAACATCCATAAAATATTTGTCACAGGACGTTAAGCAACCAAAAATCAATCAAATTTGTTTTCGTCCTGAACATGCATAATGCATAAAATATTTGTCACAGGACGTTAAGCAACCAACAATCAATCAAATTTGATCTCGTCTTGATTATGCATGAAATATTAGTCACTGGACGTTAAGCAACAAACAATCAATCAAATTTGATTTCGTCCTGAACATGCATGAAATATATGTCACTTGACGTGAAGCAACCAACAATCAATCACATTTGGTCGCGTCCGTTGCATGCGTTGTTCTCGTCCTGAACATCCATAAAATATTTGTCAAAGGACGTTAAGCAACCAACAACCAATCACATTTGTTCTCGTCGTGAATATGCATGAAATATTTGTCACTGGACGCTAAGCAAACAACAATCAGTCAAACCATTATTATGTCTCATTATTCTCTATATATCCCTAACCATAAAGTCCTATGTTGTAAAACAGAATATAATACAATTCAGACTGGAAACGGGGAATACGTAAAAGAAACAACAACCAGACCTCAGAGAAGAAAACAGCACACTGCCACCTATGGTTCTTCAACACAGCGAGAAAATCCCGCACCGCAAGGCGGGATTCACTGTTTTCAGTTGATTTTGGTGTATTGTTTCACTTTGTTGCTTTTCTGTCTCATTATCATTTGCATCAATGGATGATATCTAGAAGATTGTGTTGTTGGTTATTCTAATAAAAGTTATGAATCAATGATAGGTACTTACATGTATAAATGTCTAAGTGATGAATGTGGGTCTCATAGGAGTCTAAGCGTGACGCGGGATTGCCGATTTTTTGTAAGCGTGACACGTGAAAGTCAAATTAATTTGCCGTGAAAACGGGAAATGAAGTCTAGCGGGATTCGGGAAATTACAAAAAAATGAGAATTGCTTACGTACATAGTGTAAGCGGGATACGGGAATCTAACAAAACAGTAAGCGGGATCCGGGATTAGAACCCCCTAATGAGAGCCCCATGAATATAAGAAGATGTGGTATGATTGCCAATGAGACAACTCTCCACAATAGACCAAATGACACAGAAATTAAAAACGCCCATACCGCATAGTCAGCTATAAAAGGTCCCGAAATGACAAATGTTAAAGTTTGTATTTATAGTTACCTACTCATACATTTCAGCCGTGTCTATCATTCGATATCCCTTCTGTAATGCGAACTCTACGGCTTGTTCTGTCTGTCCACCCGGTCCCGGTGAGGCTCGCCACACACCAAGTCCAAACAGAGGCATACTCAAGCCATCGTTAAGTGTAATCTTAGATGTTATATCTGTAGCTACTGATACCATTCTTTTTCTCATAATGTAGGGTTTTGGTTCTCTGTATGTATCAATTTTCTGAGCAACAGTAGCTTCTATATGCAATTTTCTCAATATTAATGAAAACCAGACAATATGTATTCGCGTGTATATTTCTGTTAACATTATTCATGTTATTTAACATGTGTATATTTTTTAAATGTATGATTGTGGTTTCAAAATTACATTTAATCAGCTTTGTTTCCGACTTCAAAAAAAACTACTGTTTCCTACTTTTATCATAAGAAAAATTACTTTTCCATTGTTTTCTATTGTTTAACTCAAAACAGTCGATGACCGGTTTCCTATAGCTATTCCCCCTATGCTAATTTGTCCGGGGAAAGAACTGGATCGATCCAGTCCCCCCCCTCAGAAAAATTGGCATGATCCCACTTTCTCCTCCAGCATGATGGGGGAAAACCGGGATAAGGCCTATATTCCTCCCCCTAGTAACACGTTAAGCTCGATCCCCCACCCCCCCTTGTAGTAATGTCGGCGACGTCATTTGGAATTTAATTATTCATTAAAGGATAGTAACCTTAATTAAAAAAATGAGATCATGCCAATTTTTCCACCGGTGGAAAACTGACATGGGGGAAAATGGCTATATAACACCGGCCGTCGATGTATAGTTTGTCTATATATATCGTAGTTGACTATAACTTGCCGTAGTCCTTAACATTTAATAAATCCCTATTTTAAAGTTTCTTTTCATCATGCACATTTCTTCCAAACATTTCATATTATTTATGTTATTCTTTGTTTTCATCATGAAGTTTAATAGTTTTTGTAAAAATTGAAAATAAAAACGCTAGTGAACAAGAAATATATTTTAGAAATACATGTACACTAATAGTTTCATTTATCAAGTATGGATATAGCAACAACTCACATGTGTTTACCTTGTCATGTGTTGTATGTGTAATAGTTTATTTACCTAACACACACATGACACACTCACAGGTACATTTCAGATATAAAAAGAAATTATCTCCCTTTCGTATTAATACTGTACTACCGATTATATACTCACATGGGGTAATTTCGAAACCAACCAATTTCAATTTCATGATACATGTATATGAGTGTATTAAAATAAATCCTTTACATTTCTAAACTGTTAATTTCGTTGTATTGAAAGTAAAGATATTTTCAGATAACTCCCACATTCTATATTATAAACACTTGTGTTCGACACCAAATTAATTTTCTAGTTCTTTTTACTCCTATCATTGAAAGGGAGGAGCGAGTGAACCATTTTTTCCTCTTCTCAAAATTTGATAAATTATCGAGAGTGGGAATATGCAGATTGATCCCTTGGAGTTGGCAGGTGGATAGCTGCATGTCTCATTTGCAACCACACCACATTATCAATTATATCGGGATGACATGCTGCTTTGATGACATATAGATCCTAACGTTTCAGCGTATTTATCCATCCCTGGCTTTCAAAAATTTGTGTTTTAGCTGCCTGATGAAGGTAAATCATCCAGAAAAAGCTCGGAAGCACGTAATGTATAAAGAGTTTATTCATTTTGGATCTGATACCCCTCCCTAAAAATATTTTCAAGTCTTGAAATGAACATATTTTAGCCCCCCCCCCCCCCCCCCAAAAAAAAAAAAAAAAACAAAATAAAAACTGTCTCACACAATACTATAATTTAATCATAATAATTTGACCAATATTCGATTATACATAATGATATCAATAGATTCCATTTTAATTTTTCGTCATTTTCACATATTAAAAAACATTAAAAAAAGGTAGTATATCCTGCACGTAGCTACTCGTCCTTCGCGAATGGTCACTTCCTATATGGAATACCGTTGGAATGGATCGCTTCTTTATATGTTAAGTATACTACTTAAAGGAAAGTTTTGCAACGCTTCTTTCGAGATTAATGGGGGTTAAAATTTGTATAAATATCAAAATTATCTGAAATTAACAACATTTATTGTTTAAAAGGATGTTGAATTGTTTAAAGAAGGAAACTAAAAAATAACGAAACAAATTTGGGGGTAAAGAACGAGCCCTCCATTTTTCTCATTTTTTGCGAGGGAAATGTTAGTTTCTGTTCATATGTAATCAATTATTTCATCAGATTTACCACTTCGTACATTCTGTGCTTTGTATGCGTTTTTAGATAAGACCCTATGCTCAACAATTGTTAAAAAATGTGATCTTTAATTTTGAATGTTGACCCCCTTGCTTTTAACTTTAGGAGAGTGTAGTTGTCTGAAATTAGACTAACATAATTGTAGTAATGTTGAAAACACAGATTATTGAAGACTAAAAACTAAAACTTTAATGATAAATTGATATTGTTTTACTTTACTTTCAGTCAGAAATTGTGTTGCTTAACCTTTTTTAGTAGTATATAAATATCAAAGGGGTAATCATCTTTAGTTAGTTAAGTGCTTGTAAATATGGTGAAACCCCACCCCCCACAATTTATATCTAATGATATAATTGAGAATGGAAACGGGGATGTGTCAAAGAGACAACAACCCGACCAAAGAGCAGACAATAAGTCTGTTCAAGGGTTTGGTTTAGCTTTTGAGGTGAATGACGTCATTTTTGTGCTTTGTATAGAATTTTACCGAAAACAGATGGGATGTCAAATACCTGCACGTATACGATTTCTGCATGTTTATTTGTATTTACGAATGGAGTATGTGCCCGGAAACTATCTAATGTAATCAAGACAACAGGCCAGAGAAGTTTTGAAGTTTTTTTCACAAGGTTTTTGAGCATGTTGAGCATGACGTTTGGTGAACATTCAATGGTCTCATAGTGAGTGTCATATATTGGTCTTCTGAAATTTGTGTGTTTACTGTCTTATTGATGTCAGTGACTAAATATACTCCATATATCAGTTCATTTCTGGAAGCAGAACAAAAATAAACCCTATATATTTTCTAGTTTAGTTTAAGAGACCAATTACATAATCAGAACAAACAAGGATTTAATTTTAAGCCCATAGGGTCATGCAATTTATTGCATCGCTTTGCGTCTGACGTCTGTCGTCAATCTTTTTTTTTAAAGAAAATCTTCTCTGAAATTACTGAGTCAAATGTCACCAAACTTTACCTGACCCTGACAGTTCTTTAATGGTCGCTGTTACTAGAAATAGAGCAGAAGGGTAAATTGCTGTTTTGGCTTAGAACAAAACCAACATGGATGAAAAAGCAACAGGTCAAGTTCTATCTACCGCTTAATTTTCAGTAAAATCGAACGACCCAATTTGAAGAAATTGCTCCTATTTAGCAAATTCACAGTTTTCGTAATTTTCTTGAAAACTGTTCAAGATGGAGAGACACTTTAATAGTAAACATTAACAGAACAACAAGATATAAAAAAGTCAGCATGGCCGGTATCGTCAACAGTTGAATATCTGGATACTAAGAGGAATGTATTTCTCATTTTGCACAAATATCTGTAGTAGAAGCAAAGTAGTAAAAGCATTTTACCAAGTACTTAATAAAAAAAAGTCAATTAACGATATTTTGTTCAAAGAAAGAAAAAATCATATTCCCTGGTTATTTTCATGTCTCCCATTTCTCAGCAGTAACATACCCTCTGCCCTGTCGTATGGTGTTAACATATCTACACTGATACGTTATGCTCGTTCATGTTCACACTATACGGACTTCATATACACAAGTGTGCTCATTACGCAGAAACTGCCCCAAAAGAGTTATGAGGAGGAAAGATTAAAAATAAACAGCTGCGCCATGAGCGCATGATACGCCCGTCGTCTTGTGTGTGAATTTTTATGCAATAAGCATAAATAGTTTCTGACATACGGCGTGACAAAAAACTCAATATCTCTAAAATAAAATTTTGAATCAAAACCAAAAAGTATACAGATCTTTAGATTAATATAACTAAGAAGTGTGTAAAATTTTAAGCAATAATCATAAATCGTTTTTGAGATACGGCGCGACATGTGAAAACACCCCTTTAAAAAAAAAAAATCAATATCTCAAAAAATTTTTTTTGAATCAAAACCAAAAAGTATACAGATCTTTAGATTAATATAACTAAGAAGTGTGTAAAATTTTAAGCAATAATCATAAATCATTTTTGAGATATGGCGCGACATGTGAAAAAGCCCTCCCCCTTTTTTTACAAAATACTCAATAACTCAAAAATAAAATTTTGAATCATCACCAAAAAGTATACAGATCTTAAGGTTAATATAACTAAGAAGTGTGTAAAGTTTTAAGCAATAATCATAAACTGTTTTTGAGATACGGCGCGACATGTGAAAAACCCCTCCCCCTTTTTTAACAAAATACCCAATAACTCAAAAATAAAATTTTTGAATCATCACCAAAAAGTATACAGATCTTAAGATTAATATAACTAAGAAGTGTGTAAAGTTTTAAGCAATAATCATAAATTGTTTTTGAGATACGGCGCGACATGTGAAAAAAAACACACACCTGTTTAGTTACTAAGTCCCGTAACTCAAAAAGTTTTAATCTTATTTTCACCAAAAAGTATACAGATCGTTTGACCATCATAAGAAACAACTATGTTAAGTTTCATGAAATTTGGATAAGTCATTCTCAAGTTACTGTGCGACATGTTTACGCCGGACAGACAGACGGACAGACGGACGGACGCCGGACATTTGTATAACATAATACGTCCCGTCAAAAATATAATGACACTCCGTACATTTTATGGATACCGTCACGAATTGATTGATCTACACGATGTGTCTGTGTCTAAACAAACTTAAATTGTTTAACATTTCATAGCGGTATAACTTACTTTTATAATTCTTCCCTTAGTTTATTTATTTTATACTTGCATTGTATCATAGGTCAAATTTATTTGTTCAGTGTATGTTCACTGGTGTAATATGTCCTTTGATTGAGTTAAGCCATTTCAGCTGATATTTTATAGTGTGTCTTTCTATGTTGTGATGTTACACTATTGTTTCAGAAAAAGGGTGAAGGTTTGGTACCATTAAAACGTTTAAACCCGCTGCAATTGTTTGCACCTGTCCAAAGTCAGGAATCTGATGTTCAGTAGTTGTCGTTTGTTGATGTGGTTCATAAGTGTTTCTCGTTTCTCGTTTTTTATATAGATTAGACCGTTGGTTTTCCCGTTTGAATGGGTTTACACTAGTAATTTTTGGGGCCCTTTATAGCTTGCTGTTCGGTGTGAGCCAAGGCTCCGTGTTGAAGACCGTACTTTGACCTATAATGGTTTACTTTTATAAATTTTGACTTTGTTGGAGAGTTGTCTCATTGGCACTCATACCACACCTTCTTATATCTATTAACGACATTTTAACCACGTCTTAGATTGTGGTTTAACATCTACGTCGTCTGGTCTGCTTAGTACCGAACTTGACCTATTCCCGAATATGACTGTTTTGCCGAGTGTGAATTCGCGTTGCTAAACGACGTGTCTCGATATTTATATATCAAACATTCATGTATTTAGTTAATATGATGTTTCTTTTGTAAGTCCCGTTGGATATTTGGTAATGTCTTATGTTCGCTGTTGGAGACGACGAGATTCAGTATTTTTATATTCCGCTTTCGGGCATTTTTTGTTAATTTCTTATACATGTGGGTCCGGTGGGTCATTTTGTGCTGAGTTGTTGTCTGTTTATTTCTCTTGCGGTTTGAATTCTATATTTTGGGTACAATTGAAACATGTCTTATTTGTCAGTATAGTCGAGTTACTCGTGGTTTGTCTACAAGTTTTCAGTTTTCTGTTGATTGTTTTCATGTGTGTTTACTGTTTGGTCTTACACGATCTTGCCTTATATTACAGATATTTTATTTTTATTTTCTATATGTATGTAAAAGTTCAAATAAAAAATCCGCTACTTCATTTATATGATTATACGTTTAAAGCAACTATATGCACCTGATTTTTTGTTTATACACAGTTTTGATTTAGAAAAAAACCCCGACATGGTTAGAAAATACAAATAATAACATCATTACAAACTCAATCCAAATTTAATATTCTTGTACGTGTCTATAAATAAAGCAAGTCGATTTTGTTTTTAGAAATTTACTTGTGATAATATAAACGTCGTTCATCCATTCATGTGACGCGCAGTTTATATTTTGTTTGTTGTGTCCTGGTGTGCTGTCGTAAATTCATGGGAGATGTTCATTGTTATTCTGCTGTTTACATGTTGAACTGTACTATTATATGATTTTTTTTTATGTATTTCTCTGTGCTGAGTGTTCTTTGGCTTGTTTGAACTGTATTCCTGTCACGTAGTGTTGTCATTTTAGCGGTTTTTTTAACATTGCCATAAAAGCAGGAGGTTTTGATAGCCATAAATCCAGGTTCAAACCACCATTTTTTTCTTCAAATGTCCTGTAACACATCAAGAATATGGCAGTTGTTATCAGAGAGTCCGTTTCTATGTATGTTGGCGTTTGATTTTGTTGTAGTTCAGTGTTTCTGTTGTTCCGTTGTTTTCCTATTATAGTTGATGTGTTTCCCTCGGTATAGTTTGTTACCCGGATTTGTTTTTGCTTAATAGAATTATGACTATTGAACAGGGTATACATGTACTACTGTTGCCTTTATTTGTCTACTGTAAAACATTACTAAGTATATGAAAAAGTCTGGCATGAAATAATAGTCAAATACGCATATGGTTATTTTTTGAAGTCTGATGGAGTTGCAACCTCAATTTTGATTGTAAATAGTTTTGATAATATTTATTGACAAATATAGTATTTCCATTAACATAAATGATTAACTGTTAACGTAGCGAGACAACAGCCAAACTACACAAACGGGCAGAAAATATGCGAAATGTTTCACTTGAAAGCATGTTTAAAAATGATTTCGTCTTTCACTCATGGGTACTCATGTTAATGAAGAAAGAGGTCGACACATTATCAACTTAAGAACGTTAGAGGTATTGGTGTCAATTTATCCTTTCAGACACACATTGTATAGTAGAAAACCACAAAGGCGAAGCTTTTAAAGTATTTTTTTCGTACGTATCCTCATCATTAATCAGTTTGGTCTAGAATGATGTACAAATGTATTATTACCATAACATATTTACCCTACATGTATAATCAATTCAGACATGTATAATTTGGAAACCTGTTTAATTTTGAGTTTTGAATAGACATGGATTGATAAACCTTCATTCCCTTTATTCTCATAGGGCAAAATGAGCTTTTCTGATCATTAGGCGTCCGTCGTCCGTCGTCGTTAACTTTAACAAAAATCTTCTCCGAAACTACAAATTTAACCAAAGTTAGCTACAATCGTTATTGAGGTATCTACTTTACAAAATGTGGCCGATGACCACGTCTGCCAAATAAGATGGCTGACATGGTTAAAATAGAACACAGGGGTAAAAATCAAGTTTTGTCTTTTTTTTTTAACTGCTATAAATATAAAAAATCTGACAGGGTAGAAATGTTCCGAATGTTGATCTTTACCTATTGTCTTTTTAAGTCAAAACTGTCAGACGACTTCCTATAGGAGTTATTGCCCTTAACCTATTGTCCTTTTAAGTCAAAACTGTCAGACGACTTCCTATAGGAGTTATTGCCCTTAAATAATGAATTTCACCATTGTTTTCATTTTTGCCTATTATCTTGAAATCTATAATAGATGGAGGGAAACTTTATATAGCAAAAAAAGATCAGCAAGACAAGATCTACAAACAAGTCAAATTTTACCAAAATAGTTAGTACACTCTTTTTAGGAATGATTGCTCTTAAATTACATTTTTTTTCACCTTTTTTGTGTTTTTGGCATACATATAAAGATAGAGAGAATCTGTAAACAGAAATAAAAATGATAAGCAATACAAGATCAACAAGAAAGAGAATGTTGTTATGAATTCAATTCTAGTCCACTGTGTTGTAGAACGTCAATGTTGAAGATGCACATAGACTTACGTGAGCGACACAGCTTCTTTAGGGCCTCTAGTTTGATTACAAGTTACTGTTAATTGTGTATATATCTTAAAATATATAATATTTTGTTTATTGTGTGAATAAGTAACGGTTTATATCATTGTTTGTGTCAAAAAATTATAACTTTCCTGATATCTGTAAACGTTTCCACTTATTCTATCATATAGTCCTTAACCTTCATGTTTGTTCAAATAACTGCGTTTTCTGTTATTATTAAAGAACACCAGCTTTTTTTTCAATGCTAGTAGCATAAACGTATAGCTGATTTTATTAAAAAGTGCGTTATTAAAACTAGATATGAAAATCTTTTATCAATTTTAATTTGTATATTTTTATAAACGATAAATTCTGTACATATTTTGAATCTCCGACCGAAAATCTGAAAAAAGATGAAATTAAGATAGATGCTTTACACGACAAGTCTTCTTTTATTGAATTATTTGAAACCCCGATAACTCAATAAATTGTTAAATTGTTGTCTGAAATTTCAAAAAAGCAATTTAAACACTAAATGAAAGCCCTGCAAATTGTCCGATACTAACGGTAGTTCCATCACCAGATACTTTAGAATTCTTAAACTTTATAGTCACCCCAGATTGCAGGTCTGTGACAGACTCTTTACAGGCTCTACCATAATAAATCTGAAGTCCAATATCGTCCATTTGAATAATGTAATCCCTCATGGAATGAACACGAACAGGTTTTGAAAAGTTCATCTGCCAAATGTGACCGCATTGTGGTCCATAGTTTATTTGTTGGGTTTCATGAAACTTTTCCTCGTTTGAATCGTCCATTATTCGTATGCTAATGTTTATGCAAACCTGGTATACTTGTTGGTCATAGCAATCATAGTTGTATGTTGCTGGTTGAACATGTGGAAGAAAAATTACAACTCCTTTTAGCCAAACATCTTTATCTGAGAGAAAAATGAGAGATTGCTTTCCCGATGTTCCCATTGGCCCAGTTATCTGACTATATCTATTGACTAAATATGTTTTTCGCTTAGATACAGGAGTTCTCAAACAACTTGAAAAGGTTTTCGACACTACACCGAAATGAGACTTGTAAATACATAGCATCTCATCATCTGTAAGTAAACAAGAGCTAGTGACCTCTTTTGAAAAGAATTCCATCCCAACATTCGGGAATCTGATTAGATAAAGAATATTTCCAAGGGCTTCTCGCATATTTCCACCAGAGGGCTCTAATTTTGCCAGGTCGCATTGATGTTTACCCCATTTAAAAATAAACTGACAGATGTCTGTTTCCGTGCAGTTTAGATAATCTGATTTCAAAATGAGCTCCAAGCAATCTTTGGAAAGGCTCACTGCATGTTCTGACAGAAGGCATGACTTTGTGTTCATCTCAATATAGTCTAGGCTTTCTGTTTGGAGTTCTGATAGATGGTATTGGTATGCGGTTTGTAAAGCCTTGGTTGCATGCTCTGATTTTGCCGTTTGTTTAAGAACTGTCTCGCATTCTCTCTTAACTGCAGCTAACATGTACTTGTCAGCAGCGTACAACATTTCCTTCACATTGTTATTTGTAATTGTGATGACATCGCTATAGAAATATCTGCAAGATAATATATATATAGATTAATTTATAAGTTCAATAACGTAAATGAAAATAGCAATTTACAGATCCAGTGCTTCCGAAGTGCTTTGCTGGATTTACACCAATAAGAAACGCTTAAACCCAATATTTGAAATCTTAAACTTTAAGTGGGGTAAGAATTTTACTCCATGTTGAAGTCATCAAGGTGACTTTGAGATGAAGAACAGCAATGAAAGCAATGTTTCTTATCTTATGAGTTTTGCTCATGTGCGTTTATACGTAGTGAAATTGTGTAAGGAAATAAATATATTTTCTTTTCTATATCGTTTGACATATATTTTGAAATCACGATTACTGTGAAACTTACTAGTATTCCGGTATCAAGAAGGACAGTGATTACTATTAATTGTGCATTTAGTAAGAAATTAAGAGGATGCAGTTATAAATATACCTAGCAAAGGTCTCGATTATTTCGAGAGAACGTGATGTCTAAATATTTACATTTTTGTTATTAATTTTTAGCATGCTGTGTTTTTTTTTCTCAAGAAAACGAACTAGAATATTTACAAGGATAACCTAATAAAGATGTGAACTTTAAGAAAGTTGAGCAAAATTGAGAATGGAAACGGGGAATGTGTCAAAGACAACAACCCGACCAAAGAGCAGAATACAGCCCAAGACCACCAATGGGTCTTCAACACAGCGAGAAAATCCCGCACCAGGAGGCGGGCTTCAGCTGGCCCCTAAAATGTGTACTAGTTCAGTGAAAATGGACGTCACACTAAACTCCGAACATACAAATGAACCAAATTTAAAAAAACTTACAAGACTAACAGAGGTTCCTGACTTGGGACATGCGTAAAAATGCGGCGGGGTTAAGCATGTTTTGTGAGTGGTCCCGTTACAGAAAAGGAATTGTTACGACCCCTAGTAGTTGTATCAAAATTAAAGTGAAACATGAGGTAAACGTCAATGTGACAGCAACCCAACAACAGTAATGTTTATCACAAGGTACAAATAATGACGCATTCTAAGATTATATCAATTGTTTCGTAATTATACCATTTTAAAAGATCAATTTGCCTAAAGTTAGTGTTGAAAGTTTTTATATGATAATTGATTTGATTCATGAAAAAATCAAGTTCATCTTTTATGCATCATGATATGCAGCAAGAATAAAGTAGCTTCATAACAACCTGTTTATTATTGGACACTTTGACTTAGTACCAAACTGTTTTTTCTACCAGAGGTCGATTGTTTTCTCTGGGTATCCTGTCTTCATCTGCCAATAAAACCTGACCGACATGAGTGCTGAAAATATCGTTCAAAGCCAACAATCAATCAAGCAATTTATTACACTGCCGATGATCTTCCTTTTTTTTTATAAAAAAAATAATTTTATTGCATGTACTCACTTAAGAATATGTCGAAAGGTATCTTCATCAACATCAGGTATGGTTATCTCCCCCTTTTCTGGTAGAGACCCCTCAAACATGGTATGGAAGACGGCACTTCGGCTAGACAACATATACTTGTGTGCTTTAATAGGAGTTCTATTATCTCCTACTCTCAATGTGACGTCACACATGATCTCGTTCTGTAGCATATACATCATACAATCTGGCAAAGCTTTGTCATCGCGCCAGTCTGTTGCATTATTTGCATCCATCTAAAATGAAATTGTGAAATAGTTAAGAGTCACAAATACGAACTAATTATATTTAGGATAACTCTTATGATAAACGTTGAGAATTTAATTTCGTTTATTAATTCCGTGCATATATATATATAAAAATACTGTCTGGCAGACTTATGCCGTATGCAGATCAGAATTGTATTTGGTAGACTTATGATGCTTTTGATTTCTTAAATATAAATAAGACAAATGTGCCTGTACCAAGTCAGGAGCCTGTAAATTCAGTGGTTGTCGTTTGTTGCTGTGTAACATATTTGGTTTTCGTTCATTATTTTGTACATAAATTAGGCCGTTTATTTTCTCGTTTGGATTGTTTTACATTTGTCATGTCGGGGCCTTTTATAACTGACTGTGCGGTATGGCCTTTGCTCACTGCTGAAGGCCGTACGGTGAGCTATAGTTGTTAAATTCTGTGTCATTTGGTCTCTTGTGGACAGTTTTTTCATTGGCAATTATATCACATCTTCTTATTTTTATATCTATAAATAGTGTCCTAAATATTGTTCCCCCTTTCTCTTACATACATATCCTTGCATTAGGGCTCAAAATTCATACATCTCGTGCAAAGCTTAAAAAAAAACGTCAAAATATGCTCTCCCAAAAAAGAAACGCTACATATAAAATATATATTTTACTTAAAATTTTCAACTTCATCTTAAAAACACATTACACTGAAGTTTGTCACACTGGTTGTGACTTTAAACTTCATTAAAACTAACTATCACTTTTAAATCCATAGCAATCAGTTGTCATCCCTTCGTAAATTTTACGAACACCATCACGAGTTGGTTGACCCCTATGAAATATCTGTTTCACAGATGACAACGGATATGTTCCAATTGTCGTAACTAAAATCCCATTCCCTTTTACCCGATTGTGACCTACCGAATAAGACTTTTCACCAGGTTTGTACTAACATGAACAATACGACGGGTCCCACATGTGGAGCAGGATTTGCTTACCCTTCCAGAGCATCTGATATCACCCCCCGTTTTTGGTGGGGTTCGTGTTGCCCAGTCTTGGGTTTTCTATGTTGTGTTTTGTGTTTTGTGTACTGTTGTTTGTCTGTTTGTCTTTTTCTTTTTTTAGTCATGGCGTTGTCAGTTTATTTTCGAATTGCGAGTTGAAATGTTCCTTTGGTATCTTTTGCCTCTCTTTTAAAATTCAATATCGTTTGTGACCACCATTAACTATACAGCACGGATCCGTCTCAGTATAGACTCGATCGACGAAAACGGTCTTGTGGAATTTTTCACATTCTTGCTTGAGGGGCATTAAAGATGCCGACTTCGGGGCATCGAACATCTTTTACAAAATTTTAGCAACTCTGTATTTCCTTATATCAAATACATCAGATTTTTCAACAGAATGTCATATCTAAAGCTATTGTGTCATAGTTTTGGCTTCAAACTTCAATTCAATGTTAAATGTGTGTCATGATCATCTTCTGTTTGTTTGTTGGACATGAAAAATGAAAATACTGGCGAATAATGGTTTGATGTCTTTCAGTTTTTATAGGTTTTTCTCGAAGGTTTTCTTTCCATATAATAAAAAAACTGATTATAGTAATAATTGTTTCCTTTCATGATTAATAGAAAAACTCTTGATTGATACAAAAAAAGAAGATGTGGTATGATTGACAGTAAGACAACTCTCTAAAAGAGATTGCACATATATTTCAATGGTTTAAGATGATATCCAGGAGTCAAGTGTATCATTTTTAATATGTCTCAAAGTGAATAATTTTTCTTTATGACCTGAATATATGAAGCCAGGCGACCCACACCACACGCTTCCCTTACAATAATGAAAATATATTTTTTGGCTGGACATTGTTTTTTTTTTCTAGCCTCGCTCTGCTCGGATCAATTGTTAAGAAAAAATCCTAAGTTTCAACTGTTTTTCCAGTAAAGTATTGTTGTTTAAAGTTAATTTACAAACGTCTTTCATAAAGGATAGGAACAATGTGCTGGAATTGAATCAAGGTTTGGTAAATGTCAATAAGACCATAACAGGCATATCTAAATAAAGTTCCCTGTATTCACAAACATTTCCCCTGCTTGAAGCTTTATTTCAAATACTGATGCACTAGTTCATTGAATAATAATACTATAAATAGAATGCATGCACTCTTTTTTGTAAAGAATAAAAGTATTGAAACGTGTTGAAAAGGGAAGAGAGAAGGTGTGCAATATTCATGTCTTTGGAAGGGGGATCTTGAATTTAGTTTCCTTCTTCAAATTGAGATTCACCCCCCCCCCCCCCCCCCCCCCCCAAAAAAAAGAATAAAAATATTAATGACCAGTCCCTCAGTGAGTTACAATGTAATTGTTTTGATTGAAATGGGCAAAGGTACTTACACAACATAGGTGATTTAAACAGTGTCAATGAATGGACCGTATTAAATAATATTCAGGTGTTAGCTGTGTTAAGCTGAAACATAAGATGCATTTGAAAAAAATTGTTTATTTAGTTCCTGTCATGCATTGAACACTTGAACAGGTATGTCTGAACTCAGAGTAAATTTTGTTATGTAAACACGGGCCGGCCATATTTTCAATTCATTCTTAATGAACCTTAAATTTACTTTGGCATATACAGATCGATATGACAATTTTACTAAATGGTCAAAATCTTTTGGTCTGTCACAATTCTGTAAGGGTTTATTTAAATTGCTTAATCTATCTGCATTATTTCATCTGTATCTGTTAGTGAATTAACACCTTTTACAAAAATAAGTTAGATTAATAAGTTACAAACCTTGATGATGTCTTACTGTAAATTGACTTTGTTTATCAATGCGATTTTTCGGAAAAGGAAGTTATAATATATTGACCACAAAAATATCATATGTATTTTTAGAACAGGCAATTGAGTATTACCATGATTACGTCACCCTATTTTCTGTTTAACTAAACAGGCTTTTATACAAAAAAAAATAAATAAATAAAAAACCTCTAAAAACAATAATAAGACCTACAATAAAACAAGCTTTAGAACTATGTTTTATCCACAAAAAAAAACCATTACAAATGAAAATGAAGATCAACAGCATTCTACTTCATTCGATAATTTACAGATGTCCACCTGAATATTATTTAATACGGTCCATTCATTGACACTGTTTAAATCAACCTTTATCGTAATCAAATCGTGTACATGGTATTACTATTAATGTATTAATCAACGCAACAAGTAAAACATATCTGCCATACAATTCTTATCTAAAACAAATATTTTTGAAGAGCAATTTAGGATTTCGAAAGATTTCTCAAAAGTTAATTTTGACGTTAAGCAGTGGGATAAAATCTGCTACCTCATACATGTCATATAACATGTATAACACGAAACGTAAAGTTACAATAAAAACATACCGCAACTACATTAAAAAAATATCGCATCTATGATAAAATAAATCGCATTTAATTATTTATTTACAAAAGGAAAACGTAGCAGTACAATTTTTTAGAACGACATAAACTTTTGCTATTAGTTTGATATTGAGCATATTTCAAGACTTAATTTTCGTTTATATTTAGATGATAGGTTAACAGTTTATGTGTCTATAAGGTTTTTTTTACCTTGTTGCTCGTTTAACTGGTCAACTTGACTTTTTTTTATTTAAAACGACATTTAAAGGCTGGTAATACTTGATATTAAATTGTATTAAATTGACCGGACATTTGCACTTTTTACCTATAGTCGTCTACCTGTAATTTTAATGAGTTGTAATCTTTAAGTAAATAAATTCAAGTTATATTTGTCGTTACTTAGTTCACATTGACACAATCTTAAACATAGAGTTAAAAGTAAAAAAAAAATAATGTATATGGAACGATGGAGTTTTATCATTGAACAACAGTCGGATAGTTACATTAAAATTCGATATATTGATGAACAGGCACCTCAGTCAAGAATTGAGAAAGAGAAACTAGAATATTTTGTTGAGATGTGGGCGAAATACCAGTCAGGACAGATTACAAGAACTAATTTTGTTCAATTTTTGGGTTTCAGTTATCAAGCAATAACTGACTTGTGATGACTATACGTGTTTTTGTCTTTAGAATGTTCATTTTTAGCTGTATAAAACCATATCAATGTGCTATGAAATGACTATTAAACTTTTAACTATGAAGATAATTTTGACTTTAACTCTGTCAGGTCACATCTGCCGGTCCTAAGCCTGAATAAAAGAGGAGGGAGTCATACGAAGCAGATATTGTAAAAGTACAAATGTCCTATATAAAAAGCGCAAATGTACATTAAAAAAAGCTCAAAATGTCCTACGAAAAAGCGCAAACGTCCAGCGCCGTAATACTCGATGTCACACTCTTTTGGTTAATGGAAATACATAAAACTCTTCTATTTGTCGCGTGAATTAATTCCGGACTGAACGTATTTATATATTTTGATATCAAATATTTTTTTTTGTTGCAAAAACATCTTTTTCCTCATGGATTGTCTGCATATTTACAATGTCATACTAGAAAATGTCGCGGCTCCACATCAGGGACGGTTTTCTCGATTCGCACTTTCCATAGACTGATTATCATATACATATACAACATGTAAAACCAACCAAATAATGATTATCACAGAAATTTAGGTATATTTTAAAAATCCATATATTTGTCTTGTACATCATTAAGAAAATATGTTCATAAAACGTAGCACTTAAAATCTGTATGATTTTCACCATTTGTTTTGCCTAAGTGTTGTATGTATGTATATGTTTATAATATATTATTATATTTAGAGTTATTCAGAGTAACTGATTTTACCCTTTTTAAATAAAGTTTATATCATTATTATATTATTATTTTTTCTTCCTAGAATTGAAACAGATGACCTGGTATGCACTGTAAAAAACGCATTAGCAACGGCGTACATGTAGGAGCTGGGGACAAGGGTTAGCCCCTCCTGTTACTTTTTGGCCAAAACAAATATTGATGAAAGAAAAAGAAATTCAAAGAGGACAGACAATTTTTTTGTGTTTATTTTTGCTTTGCATTTTCAAAAGTTTGTCCCTCACTTTGCATTCTGCTCCTTTGCCACCATTGCTCGCCATAAGAATTATATGGCATTCAATATCGAGAAAAAAAAACATACCGTATAATCGGCTATAAAAGGCCAAGACATGAAAATTATGAAACAAGTCTATAAAGTTAGATAAATTCAAAACACACAATAAACTCAGAATTTTCGAAGGGCTCGTTACGAATCCTTAAGGTCAAAACATATTACGGTGTGTCGAAAGGTATCCCAAAACATTTGTTAAAATGGACAATCTTTATAAAAATCAAATTTATGATGGAAATGAATCTATGTATATATTGTTCCTCGGATACAAATGAATTGAAATTAGTGAGAGACGTCTTTTGAAGCAGAGAAATTTTGTATCAGACTCTCTTTTAAATTGAAGCAACATCTAGTGCTGTTTGGAGATGCATATTGAGATCACCCCCGTTTTTTGGTGGGGTTCGTGTTGCTCAGTCTTTAGTTTTATTTATTGTTTCTTTTTTGCCATGGCGTTGTCAATTTATTTCCGATTTATGAACTTGAATGGCCCTTTGGTATCTTTTGCCTCTTTTGAGTTTACTTAAAAGAGGCAGCAACTGAACAATAAAAAACTCAATATCCATATAATTGTTTTTGCATATCATTTGAGAAATATCAAATAAACACCACCCCACTAGACGCACGCAAACAACAATCAGCCAATCAATCAATTTATCAAATGAAACAATCATTTTTTTTTACGAAAGTCTATTCCGATTCTACGTAATTACATCAATATTACATCAATATAATAGATTATTCTGTTTTGACTTTACATCTTTTTCGTACCGATCCATGCTTACTTGTCCGTATTGCTGTATGTTTGTTTATTCTACATTGGCTAGAGGTATAAGGGGAGGATTGAAATCTCACAAAACATGTTTAACCCCGCCGCATTGTTGCGCCTGTCTCAAGTCAGGAGCCTCTGGCCTTTGTTAGTGTTGTATGTTTTTTTTTAATTTTAGTTCATTTATATGTTAAGGAGTTTAGTGTGACGTCCATTTTCATTGAACTAGTACACATTTTTGTTTAGGGGCGAGCTGAAGCCCGTCTCCGGGTGCAGGATTTTCTCGCTGTGTTGAAGACCCATTGGTTGCCTTCGGCTGTTTTCTGCTCTTTGGTCGGGTTGTTGTCTCTTTGACACATTCCCCATTTCCATTCTCAATTTTGAATAATAGCAATATATTAACTGGTTCTTTAAAACATTTCTGTAGTACGATGAATAATGAAGAAAGAGTTTTAACTTAAATTAATCTAATTTTTTTTCTTAATATTTAACACTTCATTTAAAATTTACATAATTTGTATCATATGTAGGCTAAATGTAAAATGGTTTCCAGTTTCAGTCTGTACATGTCTTAGGTGAGCTGGCTGCATACCTTCGACATTTTAAAAATTAAAAACCTTCGAGTAAAACATTTCAAAATAATTCAACATATTTTAAAGTTATTTTTTTCTTTTAGTATTAAATTGTTTTGAACTACGACATCTCATAATTACATAAATAATATTAATATTCCTAATTCTCTAATAAAGAAGCTAAACGGGATTCAGTTAGAACAGACCATAATATCATATCACACATATCGAAATAAAAAAGCATAACTTTACTTAATATAAAATAAGGAGATGTGGTATGATTGCCAATGAGACAGCTATCCACTAAAGTTCAAATGAAGCGGATGTAAGCAATCATAGGCAAACGTATGACCTTCAACAATGAGAAACACCCATACCGTATAGTCGGCTATAAAAGGCCCCGACATGAAAAATATAAAACAATTCAATTGCGAAAATTGACGGCCTAATTTAAAACATAGCAATTTACGAAAAACAAATATGACAGACATGAACCAACGACAACCATTGAACTACAGGCTCCTGACTTGGGACAGGCACATAAAGAATGTGGCGAAGTTAAGGGCATACGATACAGTTTTGATCCCACGGTGATTTTTTTACGACAATTTGCATACAAGCTATTTTGCACGTAGTTAATTCAAATATGTAATAAAAATATACCTTCATGTGCCAAATTAGAGATAAATAGTGTCGAAATTTTAGCCATTTACTTAAAATTTCGGTTTCTTGGACATTTTTATCCTTTGGACAGACATAATTAACTTTTTTGTTTCAAAAGATAAACACTAGCGGATTTTTGAAAAATGATTTGGAATATCTTTACAAAAGTATGCTCTTAATCTGTGTTACAATTCTTTGAAAATAATTCATATTGATTAAAATTTCATGATTTTAGTGAAAAACGGCATATTTTGCTGCATATTTATCTAATTTAAAATAAAAATGATCAGTGATTTTTTCATGAAAATTGGAACAAATAATCTTCATACGGTATCAAGTCATTTGTCATTTTAGAAAAGAAGGGTTCATGTACTCGTTTTCAAGTTAATGATTAAAATCCCTCGGAAAATGCATCTTTTCCCGATATGTCACAGTTTGACGTCGCGAAAAATAACATATTACGTTAGCAACGTCATTACCACCCCTGTAACTGTATCGTATGCCCTTAAACATAATTGTGAGCGCTTAACCCTCTTCCTAACCGGGGACAGTGGTGTTACAGCACAACATAAGAACAAACTATAAAAATCAGTTGAAAAGGGCTTAACTCAACAGATCGAGTAAAACTATTGTATTAAAGAGTTCATTATGTTTATACGAAGTGTATTTAGTCCAATAAGTCACAAAAAAAAAATAAGATATGGAATGGTGTCCAATGGGCCAAC